AAAGAACACGATTTCATTTCAGTTTACCATTTCAAATAAACAACTCTGTACTCCATTGAAAATGAACAGTGTGCCATTAACTGATGTTAAGGTAACATATTTTTTAGGACTTTCAATTCAGTCGAACCTTAAAAGGAACGTCCATTTAAATGAATTGAACACTAAATTAAGTTCTTTATGTTACGCTTTCGGAATTTTTTCAAATTCAGTCACTCTCTATACTGCTCGTTGTGTATATTTCGCGAATGTTAATTTGTGCCTGAGATATAGTATGACGTTGTGGAGAAATACATTTTATAGCTCCCAGACTTTTAGATTACAAAAAAGAACTGTACAAATAACAAGCAAATCCCACCCAACTAATTCTTGTAAGCTTCTCTTTATTAATCTAGGTATTTTACCATTACATTGTCTCTTGATATACGAATCAGTGATTTTTGTCGAAAATGACTTACTTAAAGTCGGTACTCGACGTAGTAATCATATTCATCAGGTGACAGTATCAATAGATTACCACAAAAAATTCACATACAATACACTTGCCAAATGATATTAAACGATTAAATTCGATATAAAGTTTAAGTCCCAAGTAAAATATTTTCTGTTGCACAACAGTTTAAGTACAATTAGACTGCCGAGCATCCAAAAGGAAAGTAATTTTAATTTTAACGACATTTAGTTCATTATATACCATTGGGATTGTATAATTCTAAAGAACCTGTAACAAGTATTGTACTTCAGCTTCTGGGTCAATGATCCCATCTCGATCAGGTTTTCTTTCAATTTTCCTGATCCTTGAGCAAATACTGAGATGGCCCCTAGTTTTGCTTCTGGACATAAATGTAACTCCAAATTAACTTCTCCCCAAAGCACGTTACACACAGTTTTTTAACTAAATAAATAAATACTTTTACCGTTTACGAACGAAAATACGGAATAATATACGCAGTATAGGGAAAGTTATGTAATGCTACAGGAAACCGATTTCGAGAGTTCAACGTAAATACAGGATTTTAGGATCCCTTGAAATCGAAAAGGTCGTTATTTTCAAAACGTCCGTCTCTCCATCCGTGAACACTACTAGTGCCTAAACCCTGCATATGATTTTTTCCAATTTCAAGAAGGCCATGTCCATCTGGCTCGTGTCGAAACTTTGAGATTTTGAGATATATTCTTTAAAATGTGGGGGTGCTTTACATGAAGCACTTCAGGAATTTTCAAAATGTTCTCAAAAACGGTTCCAAATTTTATCTTTAAATTTCTTTTAAGAATAGAGTAACATGCACTTATAAAAGTGTCACTGGTCCTTTTTTTCCTAAGTATGATTTTTTCGGTGTTATCCTACAACTACAAAATTGAAGATAGAGATTTTCCCTTCAAATGAAATTTGTTGACCATAGTTCTTTCATAAAGGTCACGATTTTTTAAAATTCTATTAGTTGTCGAGAAATATTGCGTGCAATTGAAAAAGATACAAAAACAGGATTTACAGTAGCGCTTAAACGCCATTTTCTTAAAAACGATGGTAGCTGGCAAGAGAATGTGGCAAGCCCGAATAGCTAACCGAGACCAAAGGAAATAGAAAACTAATACGGGAAAGTTTGTTCCATTCTGTAGCTCCACGAGTTCATTTAGATACCGTGACAATCATCTCCATCAGCGTCACGTCTGAAATTGTAAAACATTCGCGAGAAAAGCAGACAGAATGGCATGTCGAAATAAATGCTATTTTATAGTTATTTTGAAAGTATTCAATTAATTACGCAAGAAGAATACAGAACCTGCACTGATAGAAGATAAAACCATTGTCAGATTCGGAATGAACGACTTTTTTCTTTACATGTAAGAAACAAATAAATTTAATGGTAAATCAATAATAGATTACTGCAGTGTTGTAACAATTTGATGGTTTACACGTAATGAAAATCACTGTGTCATATGTGAGATGATTTGCTCTTGTTTTGTGTGTGTATGTGTGTGTGTGTGTGTTGTGCAAAAGTTTCGTGTCATCTTGCCAACAATAATATTTTTTTATAACTACACTGCGGAACTTCATGCAGTTGCAGATTTTTACTGTTTGCGCATATCGAAAGGAAATGTATATAACTTTACCTATCTCCAAAAATAAAACAAATGTAGCCTTTTTTGCATATTTGCATATTTATGAGCTTTGTTCTTTAACAGCAAATTGTAAAATACTCGTATGCGACATATTTTAGTGCATATATTACGAGTATTTGGGTAGAAGTGGGTCAAAATCAGATATTTTCGTGTAGTTCTCTGTCAAAAAATTAATTAAACCATACCAATACTATTTCACTATTTATACAATAATATTTCCGAAAGTCCTCTGATAAGATTGTTTTCGTTTAAATCGATTAACTTTCTGTAATTTTATTCGTGCGCATGAACTTAATGAACTGAGCTAAATGTTTTGGCATTTTGTAACAATGCTTTAGGTTCTCTCGTTTAATAATTCTGATTGTTTAATATAATGTTTGATAATATATTTTCATTACATACTTATTGTTCTACATTGTAAAATGATGATTACCAATAAATAAATGTTTACTGTTTATAATTATATCTTTGTTTAACGCATATTCTTAGTTTCATGCGCTTATATTCGTTATTTGAAGTACATATATCGTCAATTTTAAGGGAATGTTTGCATGTATATTTTTAACTTTTCTAGTGCGTGAAGTTCCTGAGTCTAATAATAACTTTAGAAATAATTTGCCGAGTGAATGCATTATTATTCTTACAAGTGGCACGATGTCTGTCTCAAGTTCTCAAGCAGTCGTCCGTTGCGCATCCTGCACATTTCGATTGTAGCGTATTGTGCAAAGTGTGAATCAACTGGAGATCGCCAACAGTCAGCAGTGACAGCGGAGCTTTGACAGCTGGACATTCAGTGGCCCCTACCCAAGCGCACAGCGGAGGGATACATTCTGGTTTGTTTACATCTACTTCATTCTCCTCCAGAAGACTTCAATTCTGTAAATCAATGTAGGGACGATTTTTGCATTAAAAAAGTCGCATTGCTGAGTTTAGGGATAACCAGGTTTTATTTCATTCATGGCTCTTAATTAATCCATTCATGGTATTTATTTCATTCATGGCTCTTAATGCCATGCAGAAGTTCTTTCTTAAACATGCGTACTAAAAGTGATTCCTGAAGTTTGAAAAGTGATCCCAAGATATCTGAATCACTGTATACATTTTACTATGTTATGTTATGTTATGTTATGTTATGTTTTTATATATACATTTTTTAACAATTTTACCCCCTTTCTAAAGATTATTGTGACCGTCTGCTCAAAGTACACGTAAGCTTTCGCGGCTTGAGTTCATGATACGAGTATCTTGACTGTCAAGGTGACGCCGCGTTGTTGGCAGAGAGGCCGATGTCTCGCCTGTCATATCGCAGGCTTCTTCAGGGTAGTGACGAAAGGAGTCACTACCCTGAAGAAGCCTGCGATATGACAGGCAAAACATCGGCCTCTCTGCCAACGACGCGGCGTCACCCAGACAGCCTAGAAGTCATGAACTCGAGCCGCGGAAGCCTACGTGTGCAATAGAAACATGCCCAAGTGCTTAACTTTCCCAAACCAGAAAAAAGAAGTTTGCCACAGTCGTACAGACCTATCAGTCTCCTTAACACGCTCGGCAAACTCTTTGAGAAAATTCTCAAGAGAATTTTAAATTTCACAGAAAAGCACGCTTTAATTGATAATCAAAAATTTGGTTTCAAGGCGCACCACAGCATTACGCATCAACTAGTGCGCATAGTAGACAGAATTCGGCGCAACTTTAACGAGTGGCGATTCACAGGCGGCGTTTTCCTAGACGTAGCCAGCGCCTTTGATAAGGTTTGGCACGACGACCTCCTTGCCAATCTCATCTCCGCTAACTTTCCTTCGAACATCACGCACCTCATTCACTACTTCCTCGGGAACAGATCGCTTCAAGTTATGATTCTGAACGCAAAATCTACCTGTTGTCGCATACGAGCGGGCGTGCCTCAGGAGAGCATCATCTCCCCAGTGCTCTACTGCCTCGTACGTATACGTGCACGATATACCAACTTCCACCCAGACCGAGCTCGACATGTACGCAGACGACACGGCAGTAATTACCACGTCCAAAAGAATCGATCTGCTCGTTAAACATTTGGATCAACATTTGTTACTGATCCAAGAGTGGCTGCAGCGCTGACGCGTCAAAGTTAACGTGGAAAAGAGCACGGCGGTGCTCTTTACACGCAGATACAAACAAATACGGTCAGCCGCGTCTACTTGCACTAAGCAATTCAAACTTTGAATGGCGTGCTAGTAAAAAGTACATCGGCATCACGCTCGACCGTGCTTTAACTTTCCGTGAGCACGTGGACACGGTTTCGAGCAAAGGATGGCAACGCCTGGACATGTTGTGATGCTTATTTCATGAGCGAAGCAAACTGTCCACAACGAACAACCTGCTGATCTATAAAGCCATGATTAGGCCCATTATGGACTACACCAGCCCAAGTTGAGGAATAGCGGCGCACGCGCACCTGAATAAGTTGCAAATAGTTCAAAATTAGTGGCGTCGAATTTGCGGTGCTGTGCGCACCATGTTGTATTAGAATTTCAGAATTACACATAACATTAAATATACCGCTCCTCGAAGAGCATTTAAAAACTTAGCTCCTAACTTATTTTCAAAAATAAATGCGTCAAATAATGACATAATTAGAAATTTAACTTAGTACGAATCGGATCCTGAGAGACGTGCTGCAGTACGCGTAACGCCAATACTTGCATGAAAATTGCGATAAACAACTCCAAAAACGCGTCGAACTTATCTTTCCTGGCCTTGTTCATTTTCTATATTACAGATCAACCATAGATGTCCAAAAGGATAGGGATGGCTACACAGCAGAGAAGTGTGGCTCAGGTGTGACTTCAATGCACACCCATAGAGGAGACATATCTCGACTCTTCATGTACACCGCGCAAGGATCTTCGGATCTTCCACCATGCCTCCAGTAAGAGAATAAACATATCGTCAAACAGCCTTAGCGTGGAAATACTCTCTGGCGTGGAAGGCGGCGTAATATTCTCTCTGGGCGGCACGTCAGTGAAGCAATAGTAGGCTGTATTTAGCATGTCTGGAGATCATCTATATTCTCTGACTTTTCAACAGCTGATACTCTGACGACGCTCAGTGTTGACGACCATCATCGAAATCGGTTACGATTTTTATATATTTGCATGCATGAATACTATACACAACAGTTTTGTTTCCTGAAAGTTAAAATTAAATTTAATTAGTATTAGATACTATTTTGGTTGATCTTACGTAGAAATGAAGTTGGATGTATTTCTTTTGTAGGATATATTTTTCGTATTAATAGTACAACAATATTTTGCAGAATTAAGGTTCAAAATAATAGAACTTCTTTAGATTGAATTAAGTGCCAATCGTTATGGCATCAGGAGTACTTAAAAAGGTGAGCAAAAGAAAGGAAAAAAGTGGAGCAAGGAATTTGAGCTTCTTTCAACTTACTGGATTTTGTGTTTTAGACCACTGGATTGACTGGCTTGGCTGTTTCAACTAATCCTCACCATACTCTCAATGTACTTTATGGTAAAATATTAAGAGCACTTCAGAAGATGCCTGCAGAATCTGCATATAAAAAATATACAGAAGAAATCGTTAATGAACGATGCCAAATTGTAAAGAGTGTAAGTCTGATGTTAGTTATGTAATTCTTACAGAGTAATTAAGAATGTCACTACCATTCGAGTCTGTGTGAAGGAATAATGATAAGTATGAAGTTAAAAGTAACACTGTATTCTTTTAAATAATTGACTGTGTTATGGAAAGTAGTTTTACTTTTTGTTTATTGAATTATTATTTCTGACTGTGTGGTAATCGCAAGTAAACTTAGGAACATATTTGTATTAAAATTGTCATTCTAGATCTCCCCCCCCCCTTGCTAATTACATTGCACAGTTTGGCCTCATTATTATTAACGGTAAAGCATAGTAATGTGCATGTGAAAAGAAACCCCAACTTCAGGGGTTCACATTGTCACTTTTTCTGTGTATTGATGCCAGGTAATGATGTACTGAGTGGCTTCATATATTCCAAATTTTATTTACATTTTAATTTGTGGTGAGCAATTATATTTGTTATACATTTCTCTTTTTGGACTTTTTTAAAAACTATTTTCAGAGACTGAATTTGTAAGAAGGTTTTTGTAAAAGACATACATTGTGGATTCACTGGAGGAATAAAATCTGAGTCTAACTTTTGACTGCTACAATATTCAGTCAATATGTTTTGCAAACTATGTACAACACTGATATAAAAGTTCAAAATTGACTATCCTTATTGAATTTCTCATACGTTTGTATAATTCAACTTTGTGTGGTCTGAAGGTTTTTTAAATGCATTTTTAGCAGAATAACTTTGTTTTTTTAATTTTTTAGACACCAGATGTAACAGAACTTGAAAACAAAATTGGTTGCGGGCAAGTCGAAGAGCTTATTGTTCAAGCAGAAAATGAATTAATTCTGGCACGAAAGATGTTGGGCTGGAAACCTTGGGAAACACTCGTGAAAGAAGCTCCAGCTAACCAGTGGAAATGGCCACCAACCAAGTGAACAAATATAATTGTAGTTGTTTAAATAAAAAATAAATAGTTAATGTGTAAACTTTAATTATATCTAATTAGCATTTGTCAGTACATTCTAGAATTTTACATTGTAGTTATAACACTATTCCTCTTCCCCAATTATATTGGAGAGTTTTTGAATCCACGAGATGCGTAATCTGAAGGTAAAACACGATCAGATTCCTTTGGAAACCTGGAGTCGCCAGGCAGCACCGATTTCGAGGAAGTAAGTACTCTCCAACCACCTCTCCTAGTCCAATCCTTGAAGGAAAGTTTAGAGAAAAATTAATGAAAATTTTATTGTATAAAGTAACGATAAACAGATACTTACATTTGCATTGTATTTGAAGTAGTACGTAAGAGCATAAACACCAAAGAGGGTAATCAAAACTTTTCCCGTGGCATAACGGGCAATTTGAGCTCGACGCTCCCCCTAAGATAAAAACGGTCAGGAAAGTGATAGTTTCAGGATACTTCATAAAGTATAGAATTACTATTTACCATTACTGGTTCTAATGCTCTGAAAGCAGTATCCAACGGAAGTCTATAAAGTCTACGAATAGGATTCATCAGTTCTTTCCGAATCTCTGGAACAACTCTTGGTTCATTTGGTGCTAATTCCTGATCCTTAAGCCACTTCATTCTCCATTGTCTTTCCGCTTCGGTCATACCCATTAACCTCTCTCTTTCCCTCGCTAACCGGCCCTCAATTGGGATGGGCTTCACACCTCCAGTAGGGGATGCCATTATGAACGACGCTGCACTAGGTGGGCTGGGACACGCAGAACTAGGAAAGAGAAAAAAATTACAGGAACGGCTATGAAAATACATTTGCACTCGACATGCGTTACACCAGAAAAAAATTGCATTACGCTCTCTTACTCCTTCAAAGGTAACACTCCAATGTACAAATTTTTAACCTAACCCTAATATCCTCCTACTCTCACTTACGTCAGCTGGCATGAAGTTCGTACCCAAATCCGAGACAAGAAACTCAGAATCAGAATCAAGAGTAGATTCGTATCAGATAAAGTGATCTTATAAAAACACTACGAATAAATATAACTAAATAACTAACTTCCATGTTATTTCAATATGACCAACATACTGCAACCTTGGAGGCTGCTACGTTACTCTTATGTTCTCTGGCTACTCTGCATATTGATATAAGTATATTACTTGTCTTCATTCTTTCAGCAGAAATTTGGAAATGGGAGGAGGGAGTACATTATTTTTTATGTATATGTTACTAATACATAGAATTTTTATAAAAAAAACAAAAACAGACATCTTTATTATGTGTCAATTTGTTTCAGGGATGCCATTTTGCCCTCAGACAGAAGGATTACATTTTGAAACTATAGATTTAAAGCACCAAGTATTATATCAAATTATGAACTAAACCATATCAACATATGAATTTTTTCAAAATTAATTTGGGAGAAAGTCGTGAAAAAATCATTTTCTCATACAAGCGAATTTATTGTTTTTAACTATATACTTAAATCAATGCACTCAGATAAACATTCAATTAATAATTGGTTTAGTGTTGATTCAAGCTAATATTTAGTAATAAATGTTCTTTAAGGTACTTTTGGACACTAATGAACGTGCCAATACAGTTTTCATAAAAAGAGACTGGCAAGATATAATACAAATTTGGAATTGTTATTGATGTTACATTAAGTAATAGAAAAAACAAACCGTGAAACAATCTTATTTAACACCAATTTGTTGCAAAATAACTATAATTGCTTCGAGATAATTTACACCGAAATTTGCGTTAATCGATTTGAAGCGTATCGATTAGTCGAGCTTCGAAACTTGTACACAATAGCGATTTAAATGTTGGGAAGCCATATTGATTACTGGTGAAGTAAGTGTTCTTCGAATTTTATCAGTCAACATCGATTTCACCGTGCTGTTGAATTTTGTGCAAGTGGGCAAATCTAGTCCGATAATTATTCTGGGATCTGTTTTTGTTAATTCGTACGGGTGAACGCATAGCTCAAGTTTAGACTTCCTTCATTACTTGCCTGTCTGCCTAGAGAACAATATGGCTTGCGCTACGTTGAAAAGAACGCTGGATTTTGACCCTGTTCATAGCCATGGAAGAGCTTCTAAGCGTAGGCGATGCAGTCCTATGTGTATATCGCCTAATTCTCCACCGACTAATCAGATGGAACTTAACCCCTCACCTTTTGTGGAGGTTTGCCCTAAGTTGACGCCTGGTAAGATGGCCTTGGCCTTGGTTTGCTTGCTGTCATCAGAAATTAATAATTATTACCGTGCAGAATAATACAGCAAAGTTTGTGAATCTTGTTTACTTTTTTACAGAAAAAATGGCGGCAAGTATTCGTGAAGAAATTCGGAGACTGCATCGCCGTAAGCAACTTAATTTTTATCCAGGTCAGGATAGTCCAAGTCATGAATCATCGTCGTCTGATGGGGCAATGGAATCTCCAGGTTCTCCTACTACCTCAAGTTTTGCTACGACTTACTCCCCATCAACAAAGGAAAAGCCATTGTTTACTTTTCGCCAGGTAAATTTAGTTTTATATGTTAAATTGTGCTTCAAGCTGTAGCATTTTCGATATGTGTAGCTATGTGTTACGCTAAGTATCTTGCAAATATTAAAGTATACAAAAATGTAGGTTCTACTATATTTTATTTGCTGATGATTGAAGTGTGATGCAAGCGTGTAGCATTTTTATGTTACTAATAAATTTTATTTAGTGGAAGAGTATTGCTGGAAGTACAGATCTGTTCTATTAATAATGGACGTAATGGGTAATTCTGATTCTGCAATACTATTGGCTATTGTTACTGTGGAAGTTAGTTTTGTGAAACTGTAGTGTAGCTTTATTTGTGTTGTGTATCAGAATCTGTGGTAATTGAATTTCTAAGAGGTGAATGTGTTACTAGTTTAATTATCGTCTGGTCAGATTTTGAATCAAATTTTAGGGACCCTTTTAGAAAGGTTTACCCTTCTGCAAATAGGCTGAGTTATTGTTGAAGCCTAATGAATAACAATATGAAAGACTGAGTAACTCAAATTTTATTTCGTGAATAAGTAGCATAAAAAATATAACTTGTAGATAGATATTGTCACTGTACATTTTTATGGGCATTTTATTATTGCTGCAAAGGAGTGAAATGTTCAGATGCTGAGAGTTTGTGCTTGTGCAAATTTTGTTGCAAGTTTCTTGTAGTTGCACTTACGGTTTTTGATGCATTAAAAAACACTACTAAATTTTGTTTTTAGACTTGTTAAAACAAAAACCTTTTTGTGAAAGCTCTAGATTATATCAAAGCTTATAATAGGAGTAATGTATTACTGTGGAGGATTGAAGCAATTTTTAAGCGTGAGTTCAGATCTTTTTTTTTACACTTTTTTTTTTGAAGCACTTCCTGGTCACGATTCATCATCAGATGAGAAGTCAGTGAAAATAATGTTTGATGCTTAAAAAGGTCTAAAAAATGAAAAATAATCAGGGAAAGCGCATTAAAAAATTGATGGGAGATTATGCATAAATGCTAAATTTCATTGGGTGTTTGTCTAAAGTTAGCTGAAAATCATTCGTTCTTAATGCCATGGAGAAAATAATGTAAAGACAAATATATGAATATTATAATTTTTAAGCCTAAAGAATAGGGTCTTTCCTTATGTTAATTTAATTTGAAGTTAGTGGTGTAAAACAGTGTGAGTGAAGCAAGCACAGTGTCTCCAAAGTTGAAGAATGCAATGATCAACTCTGCAATTCAGAAAAGATAAAAAAGATGGGAAAGAAGTAAAATAGAAAAAAATCAACCAAAGACTATGGAAATACAAATAAAATAAAGAATGGCATTTTATAGCAAAATGTTCTTAAAAAGTTATTTATTTCAAAACTGGGTTAAGGGAAATTACTGTCAGAATAGTTAATTTTCTTAATTCTTGCATATATTGTCGAAGATAAATGTGTATATTAGAATAAAATTGGCATTTTTCTACATCCAAAGTGTAATCATGATGTTCATCTGTTGGTGTTTGTTGGAAGGTGGCCACAAAGCAAGATCCATAAAAAAAAACCTAGGTTAAATGATCAAAAATATTTGAACTCTACAAATTTGGAGAATGAGTTTGATGAGGAATGAAAATGCAGCAAGGGTTGGTGTCTGGAAAGGTGGGGAAGCATCTTGGTAAATCATTTTTATCAGGTGACTAGACACACTAGGATGAGTCTTTTCTTTAAAGTAGTGAAATTTCTTTTCCTGCAGTGGGCTATGACAAATGGATTTGAATGAGTAAAAAGTACTTCTATCACAACTTTGACAGTATGCAGGTTTTTTAATACTTTTGCATAAGATCATCCTTCTGCAGGTTATCAATTCTTTTGAGCATGCCCTAATTGTGGGGTTGTAAACTGTAACTGAATGAACTGGTACAGATGTTTACTGCATCATTAGCACTTTCTGAATAGGAAACTAATTTAATTTTTAAAGTGGGTGTGTAATCTCATAATTAATTTGGAGGATCTACTTTATCAGAGGTATCCTGAAGCACCATCAGCCTGCCTCCCAAACCCAAATTATACACGTTAAAAGTAGTTTTTACTAATTTTCTATACTAATAGGTTTTGATGATTTAAATAATTGATTTTAATCAAATAATTCACAAATTGTCGATTTAAAATCACAAATATAATTTATTGTAAATTTTACAAATGAATGATAAAAATGTTAAGTTGATAAAGAAAAGAATTACAAATTATCACATTTAAAGTATTTATTTATTAATAAATAATGAACTATTATACTCGAAGCTTTTATGAATTATTTAATTGTTATGAAAGATCAATTTTGCTACTTTTTCTTTTCCAAGACTTTCTAATTTTTGATTGGAGTAGTTCAAATGTGCAAAATATTCATTCCATATTAGCAGAAGTAACTAATGCTAATAATTTTTGTTTTAGATTGTTAATTTCTTTTTCTGTATAAATTTTTTTCGTGACTTTTCCTCCACTATGGATAAGCATTTTCTTTTTTTCCTTTCTTTCTTCAAGACATAAGTGCGGTTGAGTATATTTTGGTATTTTTTCAAATATTAAGTATTTTACCTAATTTAAATATTTTAATTTAGATCGGATTTAAATAAAAAAATTAAACATGATTCTTATTAACCTTGTTAACAAAATATGTGTATCGATTATTTACACAATAGTCAACAAATAAAACTAATTTTACATTCAGTGTAAATTATAAATTCTTAAATATGTTCTTTATTATGCTTTAAGTTGGCTGAATCCATACCCCTACTCATCTCCCTAAGAAAAATACTGTGCCTCTAATAATCTTAATATTGAAGAGAAAAGTGTCCTGTAACTTCAGTGTAGAAAAATAAATAATGTTCACGAATATACCGACAATGAATTTGTGACGATTCCCAGAATAATATATTTTGCATACATCTAGGTAAAGCATGATTAAGTATGCAGTTTATGTTGAACTGGTGTGGAAGGGGGGGGGGTCTGTTTCCATGATCCAAACCCTGAGAACAGAACTAAAGAACAGTACGAACTATTATCATGAAGCGGTCGCGGCGGAAGCTTAGAAGGCGTAATGGACATCAATCTGCAGATTCGCCTGTTGATCATGACAAAGCTAATGGCAGTATCCGTCAAAGTGGGCCCTTGAGTTTTTCATTGGGGACGGCGTCACGAGAAATGATAGAAACGGGACATGGCTAATGAGTTGGAGCCAAATGCAGGGTAGGAAGCATTCTCTTTTTGGAGACCAGAGGAAGGTGGTGGACATAGCTTTAGTGAAATAGAAACTATTTGTGTCCTGGGTTCCCTCTTCACCATAGCTGCTATAACCTTTATTAAACGACTGATTGTACGTATTACGTACAAACGTAAAATTGTAAAATTTTTGGAATGCTTCCCCCACGTGTGGCTTCTGGCCTTAGGCCATTGTTAAATCCGGACGCAGACGTTGACACGGAGGTGGAGGGCCCTTAGCCTGGACATTAAATTGCCTGTTCGTTCATTTGAGCTATCCTTTTGACACGAGTTGATGTCAGATCAAATACGGGGCGTGGTCGCGTGAAATTAATAGGACGTTGAAAATAAATATTTATTTCACAAAAGTTATCTAACTCGTGCTTGCGTTTTACTCTTTTGTCATCCCGCCAACTGAAGCGTGTTTTGCACATCAATCTATTTATATTCATAGAATGCAAAAAAAAGTACACATAAAAAATTGTTAAGAAATTTTTTCGTGTATAAATGTGATCTAAATTTAGCCTTTTCGGTTCGGTTCGGTGATAAGTAAACAACGCGGGCTCTTTGAAATTTCGTATTTATGACGTCGCTCCACGCCCGTTTGATAACTTGATTCACATGCGTACATGTTCTCATTGCTTTTAAAATAATTTGTATCAATTCTTACAATGTTATTTTTAATGACAAATTGCAACAACGTGTAAATATCCCGGACATTCAACTACACGCACGGAACTGATGCGTGCCTTTGCACATAGTTGTACCGAACGGGGTTGACTTTTTTATCAATTACAAAAAACTGTCATTTCTAATCTGTATTCCTAATTAAATTTGTGTGTGCATTAGAGTAGGGGTCCAAGCATTGGATAAAACTTGCACAGAATAAATTTCGACCACAGATGGTACAGATTTGGCGTTGGCGCAATGTAACGAAAACACAACTGACTGTTTCGTCGTATGACGAATCAATGTTGTACGAGTTTTCACTGAATACGTAAAGTCGCAATCGAAAAATGTAAACAAATACATGGTTCCTTTTTTAATGCAATGCTCTTTCAAAATCAATTAATTTTAAGTCAATAAACCTATTAATTTAATTTACAATTTCGTTAAGCAGTTAAAATTGGTGGAGTCTGTCCCCCTAAGCCATCCTAGGTTGCAACTGTTAAATTTAACAATAATTAAAATGAATGTCTTTCTAATGTTCCTGTCAGAACAATGTTTGGTTATCATATCGTTCCTTTCCCTCCCATGTAGGACGTTCTGCCGCAATTCCTGCTTGTTTGTTGGAGTCTCAGCAACTCAGCATGCATGTTCTTGACTACAACAGAGTATAACTACTTAGTTCTAGCTGTTGTGTGTTGGATCAACTCAAAATATGAAACATCGAGCATGGATTGGTGCCTACCATTCAGTTCTGAAGGAATACGCGAAATGTACTTTATTTTGCTAGATTTGAAGTCTCCACAAGCACCGAAGTTTCTTCGTTATTGTACGCGCACATTTTCTTGAGCCCCGGAATACACATCTCCACTCATTTTTTAACATTGGTTAAAGTAATAATACATGTTAGCGACGAGCGTTGCTGACAAAATTTAATTACTAGAAATCTTCTCTCCCGTATAATATTTTGAATTCCGATCCTCGATTGAAAATTCCGATCCTCGAAACGCCACCAAAAACAACTTTGTTAATGAAGAATAAAAGCTTCAAAGTTGGATTTTATTTGTTAATTTTTGAAAATTCTTGGCTCAAGAACATCGGCCAATCTATCTTTAAAAAGCTTTTCTAGAAGTTTTGAGAATCCAAATAGTAACGATTTTGATCTGTAATTCATGAGATTGTGAGTGTTGTCTTTTTTGAATAGTGGCTTAACTTTGCTTTTTTTGAGAACTTCTGGGAAGATACTCTTCATTAAGGAGTGGTTGCAAACGTGAGTGAGCAGTTCTATTATGTTTGTTGCAGTATATTTAAATAAGGGTGTCACAGAAATTATCCAGTCCTGTAGAGAATTTTTTTTCGTTTGACTTGATTTTTTTGTATTTCTGCAGGTGATGTTTCACAGATATATTTGGAGTTTACTTTTGTTAATTTGTGGAGATTTGATTGCATGTTTATATTATTTAAAGAATTAATGCCATGAATTATTTTTTCTCCAATTTCTGAGAAATGTCTATTGAATGTGTTGGCTAGTGCTTGTGGGTTGGACAGAACATTCTTTTTGTAGTGAAGTTAAATGTTCCTAGTGTTTGTTTTCTATTTTTAGAGTATTTTTCACATTGTTCCACAGTGTTTTTGTTTTTTTTTTTGAGCTTTGGTAATGCATTAATCATTCATTAACGGTTTGACCTGTTTGACATTCTTTGATACTTTTGTATGTTTTGTAATAAGCAATGAAATCAGAACATTTGTGATGAAGGATTGTTTCATGAATGATTAGTTTCCTTTCACATGATGTTTTGATTCCTTTTGTTATCCATTATTTGTGGTATTTGTTTTTATTTTAGTAAGTGTTTGTGGGAAAATAGTGTTGAAAGAACTTTGGAATATGTTTATGAATAAGTTAAACTTGTGGTTATGGTTGTAGTTAGGCTGAGGCTTGCATTTGGTATTAACACTCTGTTATCGTGAAATATTGTAAAGAAAAGAATATAGAAATGATTGGATAAGTAATGAAATTGCTTTTAATTTTTGTGTTGATTAAACTTCATAATTGTGTGATGTTACGGGGAGTGTGTTGAGAATGAAACAAAAAATTTTCTATTTGCCCTCTGGGTGTCAAGGGAATCCACATGTAAAACTAATAGAAAACGAGCCACAGTCTTGCAATTTTTTTTACATGCTTCAGTTAGTAAATAAAATCGAGTCTTAAAAGCGTATAAATTAATTTTTGTCACAACAACAAAAAGAAAACTTTCTTACCGACACTGAATGCAATTTATTATAAAAAAGATTATGTCGAAGAAAGAACTTATACTTAACCGTGTTAGTACCTAATATTTCCTAGTATTTTGTGGAAGTGTTTATTAAACGAGGTGTCTTGATTATCTCTGCAAAACTTGCACTGTTGAATGAGCTTTCATAATATTGTACTTGAAAAAAATTGTTGCAGCTTCGAGAGGGGGAAAAAAAATCTTGTTAAAAAAGCAGTTGATTTATCATCAAAGAGGAAATGGCTGTGTTCAAATTTTGAAGAAGGGAGTTTTTGATTTCGGTGAAATTGTTTCTTGTAAAATTACTATTAAATTTAAAAATATGATCATGATAATCAATTTCCAAATGCAATTTAATGACAAGTAATGAGAGTAAAAATTCTTTAGTCTAAAAATAGTTCAGTAATGGAATTTAAATCTCAGAATTCAGGGGTTTCTGTAATTAACAGAGCAATCAGTTTTTATTTGTTTCTGAAGGTAATCGCAAAATTGCCTGTGTTAATGTACATATATATTTCTTTACGATTTTGTCAAACTATTTTGATTTAAAAATTGAAGAGAAACCAGCAATACACTTCTAATAGCAGTGAAAGTAAGCAAATGATTTTCTCGATGCTATCCAGAGCAGAAAATTGTAATTTCAGTGATTATTTGGAATATTAGTGCCATATTTATTTCCACTTGATAATTTCATTTTCGATTTGCAGGTTGGGATGATTTGTGAACGTATGTTGAGAGAGCGAGAAAACCAAATCAGGGAAGAATATGATCGTGTTCTCAATACTAAATTGTCTGAGCAATATGATGCTTTTGTCAGATTCACTTATGATCAAATCCAGAAACGCTTTGAGGCAGCAGCAGTTCCCAGCTGTAAGTATTCCCTATTTAATTGTTTTTATTAAGGAAAAATGAAGCTCAATCTTGTAATTGTTTTTTGTTTTTGTTTTTTGCAGACTTGTCCTAAATTAACAGCTGTTGCTGGTGAAGTTCCAGTACCTCTAGCCAAGCAACATCTATCAAGAAACAAGTTTTTTCCTCTTTAGTCTAAATGCTGTGCCTCATTAAATAACTTGCTGAAAGTACTGAAGAGACTAGAAGAGATGGGTTGAAATTCAATTATGGAAACAGTGTTCAAAGCTTTGGTTCTGTTTCTCCTCTTTCACTTCATTACGCTTCACCAAAGCTTTTTACATAATTCTCTAAAACAGGGAAAGTGTGTGTATGGCAGGTCCTCCCTCCTCCATTTTCTTCTATAATTAATTGGTATGTAGAAAATTTGTAACTTTCAGCTGAGTACCATGAACACATGTGGCCAGTTGGAAATAAACTGTTTATATGTAATATGCGTTTATACTGAATCATCAATCCAAAACTACTGACATTCAGCAGTCATTTAGTAGAATTATCATGGAACTTGTTCCTTAGTCTTAGGTAAAACATTTTGCGAACTTGTTTTGGAGTGGTCCAAAATTATTAATACATGAATATGTTAATGAACTCCGATGACTACACAGTGCAAGAGCTGTGCTACACGTGAATAGTTATGGTGAAAAAGTAGATTTGGAACTGTTAAGGTTCCGTTCCCATGGTGTATATAAATGCACTGTGAGATGTGGCACCTGTATTAATAGTCCTTAAGACTTTATTTGTAGTGGTGAATTGTTTGTTAATAAACACTGTCATGGAAATTCAAATTTAGTGGGAAATCAGTAAGGCTGTCTCTATAAAAATATATTAATTTAAGTTGATTTTTGAAGCAGGTATCTTGTTTTATAATCTTTAATTAAGTTGGTGTTGTGTGAATGAAATCTTGTAAGGTTTGCTTGTGTTGAATGCTGTTCTGAAAGAACAGAGGTTTGTGGCAAGAAACTAACTCTTGTAATACTTCTAAGTTGTTTTTGAAAATGTTTTCAGATAGTAAATAAAAACCTTTTTATTTGCTGAAGATATGCTGGCATTTGTTAAGAGTGCAGATTTTGCTTGTATTGTTGCGAAGTTTAATGGAAGCACGTTGCTGAGGAGTGTGTGAAAAACCTTAATGTCCACCAATTTTTCACTCTTCAGGGAGCACACTTTTAAATGTATGTTGAAGACCCTCATAAGTGAACATAGAGATTTAATAAATTGTTTTCTTGCAATACAGGATATGTTGAGAAATGACTGAAATGAATGTTTCTATCTGCACATTTCAACATAACAGAATTAATAAGCCATTTAGAACATGGTTTGTTGATGAAGAATTCAGTTAATATGTAAAATAAGGAATTGACTTACAAATTTTCTGTGCATGAACATTTGTGTTGGTTTGGTGTGTTTAAAAATTTTGATGTGAACTGGGCATGAGTTGATGAAATGCTAGTGTTGCTTCTTATTTCAACCTTGTTAATGTTTTTATTTTTATTTTGTACTTTTATGCTTTGTCATAGTGTGCACCAGCAAACAAAAAAGGTAACTGTCCGAAAAGTAACTTAAAAAGACAGGAATTGTGGATTTTATGCTTGATTGAAAAATGAAAAATGGCGATGTGAAAATTATTCGCGTTTGGTAAGATTCGAAAAAAATTTCTGATTTTTAACAATAGTCGTTATTGTTTGTTTCATTAATAGTTTCTAAATGTCCTTTACACAATGTTTAATACTGATTAAAATGTTTGCTAGTGCATGCTCAAATCAAAAGCATTTAGTGTTAGTTTTATTTTAATTTGTAAGCTGGTTTTGTTTGAAAACTGACGTTGACATGTACTCTTGATTTTAAAAATTGAAGTAGATTTTAGACTAGAAGTAAATGCATTGCCATTTATTGTAGGATGAGATACAATTTCGTGAAATCAGTTTCGGAGGAATCTTTGATGGTTGAATAATAAATGGACAATAATTATTATTATGAAACTTCGCCATACATCTGTGTTTACCGATACTCTTGCAAAATGTGCAACATGGGAGTATTGGCTTCTTGAGAAGTGTTGAGTGTATGTGAAATGTAATAGTGCCCTTCAACTTTTATTGTAGAAAGACAAACAGGAACCGCTGTGCAAGAAGTGTTCGGTTTCCATCTATCCAAACATCTCTGAAATATCATTATGAAAATTAAAGTGAGTAGTGAAATAAATCGACTAACAGTCATTATTAAAAAATAAGATGAATAATTGCAATTTTATTGCAACAAAGGCACAAAGCATCTAAGAATAATAGTCCAACAAAATGTTCTGTTGGCAAGTTAATTTTATCTGTAGCTGTGCATGGAACTGTATTAAGTGTTACTTTGTTAGTGGCACGTCCCTGATAATGAGCAACTGGACGTGTCACTGGAACTTGTATATTTATTTCATATCATTGACGATCAGTACATTAGGATACGTATCCTACAGACTACTCTTGACATATGTACATAGGGATTGCAAAAGGAGAAAACTTCAGTACTCAGCACTGTGAACCGTGTGCATGTGTAACAGGTACATAAATGTGTGGGTGTGTGTGTAGTTGTTCACCCTCACAAGTTTCTATGAGATTGCGTAACTTGTAGATCCTGCTGTAATTAATGGATGGTTTGTAACTTTTTTTTGCCTCAGCCTTATGGGACCTCAAGCATGTCAGTTTGTATTATACAATTGAGACATTGCACAACATACCCTGTGTGTTGCTCTTTGAATCTAGAAATACCTTGTGTAAGTTTAATTGTGGAAAGAACAAAACTTTTGGCAATGGAAGGTAGGGAGTTTTGTATGTTGCCTACATTCCTAAACCTTTCTGTATACTACTAGTGATAGTTCTATACAAAGCTTCTCAGAACATTTTTGATTTAGTTAAGTCTTAAAAATATTAGATTGCATTGGATAATCGTATCTCAAGGAAGATCATTAAATTTGTGCTGATTGTCAATTTTGTTTTTCTATTCCTCAATCTCAAACCCATTTTCATTTGTGTACTTAATAATTTTGATAATGGTAAAGATATTAATCTGCTCTTAAAATTAAAATACTTTAAAGTAGTAATTTACCGTTTAATTGTACTTAATCCTAGTACTGAGGTCTTTCTGGACCACACGATTAATTTAAATATTTTTCTGGATATTTGCAGGATAATTTCAATTTTCTAGAATAACCTTTGGGCACTTAAGAAGGCACCAAAGAATTTTCGGATCATACAAATTTTATTAGTTACTAATTTTTTTTTTTTCTTCATTACATGGGACCAGATTGACATGAAGTATAGTTTTTCCCACTTGTTACATATTATGAATTTCATAAAATAACTATACCATCAGAACTGATTTATCTTGAAATAATTTTCACAACTTAAAAATATTCGTGAAGCATTACGCATCAATGGAGGTTATTTATATGAAATATTTAATGTGAATAAAGTTTGTTATTGAAAATAACTTAAACTATCCTTATCAAAAGGGTGATCGATATCATTAGAAAAGTTCAAAAAATCTTTATTGAATATAGTAGTCAAAACAACAAAACTACCTTGGGTATTGGAGGTGAATAATAACTAGCCTTACATAAAATCAACTTTTTATACTTTGTACATTGCTGTACACATTTCCCCTGTTTCCAAATGTTCCTTACTGCTCTGCTATAATACTTCAAAACAAAGCAGGTATGGTATGAAGGTTTAATGAACATTTCTATTGAAATTATTAAAATTATACTGGTAATATACAGCAATATATTTGGACTATGTTGAACTTTATTTTTAGTTTTGGGTATATAATTTCTCTGGAGTAGATTAATGTGCAGAACTAAATATTTCCTATTGGAGAGGAAGTATTTGGACTTAGAATCAAGCATTAGAACGTGCAATCACAATGTCAAATTAAAATTGGCAAGTAACTTGTGCATGTTTGAACTAGAGGTGCTATTACTCGCGCAACTTTTCTTGAACGATGACCTTGATCCCCCTCCCTTGTGCAATAAACAGTTGAAGGCAAAAGCTCGCAGCGGGCACTGATGACAACCTTTCAAGCATTAAAACTTCGTTGGTGCGAAACAGAAGCTAGTCAAAGCCAGCTGCTTTCATAGTGCAGAACCCCTGTTCAGGTTTATTGTCAATATCGAAAGAAATGGCTGAGTCAAGTCCAGGCCATTCAAGGGAGTCACCTAAAACTCCCGCAAAAGTGAAGCACAAGATGCAGTTTTGACTTTCATTTCATAGACGTTGGCATTACTTAAAATACTCTAGTGGCCGACTTTGTAACTAATATCCCCACTCCACCCGAAATCGTCAATCCATCGTTCACGAAAAGTTGCCCAAGTAATACTACAGCAGCACACATTTTATCTCATTGGTAACGGGTATTTTTACTAATGAAAGGGACTTCAACGACGTGTAACCATTGATATCATAAAAAATAGTGTACGAATAGATGTTTTCAGGGTTGTTACAGTGCCCGTGAACTCAGCTTACATAGTGCGTGTTTGGACTGTTTTGAAAGAAAATATCTGCCTATTTACCGCGAAACCGGCTGAACTGACTATTACCGGCAAGCGTCACGGCAACCTTGGATTACATCGTACTCAACAGCTGACATTACAAAATACAAGCGAAGAAATCGAATATGCTTCTCAGGAATTCTGTGGTGAACATTTGTTCCACCTCGTAAATATTGTTTGAAACAAGTACCATTAAAATCGATAAAGTCGGCAAAAACTGCATTAAAACTACGTGAAAAGGTAAAAAAAAAAGTACTTATTAGTAGAAATCAATGAAAAACACAACATAATTAACGGTTAATTTTGTGTTATCTTTAAATAAAATACATTTCTATACTAATCAGCATTGTTCTAAAGTGAAAAGAAAAAATGGCATTTCATTAAAATCTGCTCCCTAGTTATTACGATTTAAGTGAGTTTGAACGTGGTGTTATAGACGGCACATGAGAGGGGGGGTATAGTATCTCTGAGATCGCAAAGGAATTTGGATATTTCCGTACGACCATTTCACGAGTGTAGCGTGAATATCGGGAATCCGATAAAACATCAAACCTCCGGCATCGCTGCAACCGCAAAACGATCGTGCGAGAACGGGACCAGTGACGACTGAGGTGAATCGTTATACCTGAAAGAAATCGCAAATTGCTACAGATTTCAATGCCGGGCCATGAGTGTCAGCGTGCGAACCATTCAACAATACATCGATATGAGGTTTCAGAGCCGAATTCCCACCACTCATGTACCCTTGATGACTGCAGGACTCAAAGCTTTACGTCTTGCCTGGGCCCGTCAACACCGACATTGGACTGTTGACTGGAAACACATTGCCTGGTCTGACGAATCTCGCTTCACGTTGTTTCGAGCGGATGGACGTGTACGAGTATGGCGCTATCTCATGAATCCACGGACCTTGCATTTTAACAGGGGACTGTTCAAGCTGTTGGAGGCTCTGTGATGGTGTGGGGCGTGTGCAGTTGGAGTGATATGGGACTGCGGATACATCTAGATACGACTCTAGATCAGGTGACATGTACGTAAGTATCCTGCCTGATCACTTGCGCCCATTAACCAGGATGTCCATTATACATCCCGGCGGAGTTGGACAATTCCATGAGGACAATGCGACAGCCCACACGTCAAGAATTGCTACAGAGTACCTCCAAGAAAAGTCTTCTGAACTTAAACACTTCCACTGTTCACCAAAATCCCCAGATGTGAACATTATTAGCATATATGGGATTGCTTGCAATGTTCTGTTCAGAAGAGATCTTCACCCCCTAGTACTCTTGCGAGTTTATGGACAGCTCTGCAGAATTCATGATGTCAATAACCTCAGACACTAGTCGAGTCCATGTCACGTCGTGTTGCGGCACTTCTGCGTGCTCGCGGGAGCCCTACACGATAATAGGCTGGTACCAGTTTTTTGGCTCTTCGGTGTATAATCCTCCCGAATCCTGTAGAGGTGCAGGTATATACTGTATGCAGCAGTACCTAATAAATGGTTTCTAATAAATTTGCTACAGGTCTGGAGCAGTGCGCAAGGCAAAAAAAATCTAATAGCAATGAACTATGAAATGAAAGAAAATTGTATTATATTAAAATTTGAACCAATTACATTAAAAATATAACAGGCACGAATCCACGGGGTGGGAAATGGAAATTTCCTCCACTAAATTGTCTCAGTAATTATTAATTTTATTTTGTAACGAAACTTTAAAGCAAAAATGTTTTCGATTAATCATTAAAACGAATAAAATAGTTTCGCAGCATGAGCTGTGTGAAGCCTGCGACAGTTTATCAAATCTGTAATATGCTGTATTCGACCAAATAATTTTGAATTCCCCCGCCTCAAATTTATCTCTGGATCCGTCCCAGAAAAAATGGTCTTAAACACCGTGGGGTGTATAAAATTGAACTTTTTCACGATGAATTGGTATGCTGAAATCCCTGGCAACGCCGGGTATTTTGCTAGTATTGTAATATTGCAATTGTAGGCCACCACTTCAGACACATGAAGAAAGTCCAAACAAATTCAAAGAGCCTACGGTGCTAATTTGCAATTATTTTAATAGTTAGGAACAGTAGTAATTTATTACTACTACAGAAGAAAAAAGCATGAATGGATCTCAACGGCTATATCTGGATCAATTTATACAGATAAGCAAGGATAATTTCTCATATAACTTACATCCAGAACTAAAGGCCAACTAATACATCGCATTGTGAATGCATACCAAACTACGATAGCATTACCTTATACATATCAGTATAGTTGATATTCTTCTATACTTGAATGTACCATTTTATTGAACAAAGCGACATTTTAACATTACCTAACCTTAAGTAAATGATGACTCCTAATCAGAAAAGCTCTCTACCATGCAACAATTTTGATTGATTAGTGATTCCGGGCGCGGCAATGCTATGGTCATTAGTCCCGTAAGTGGAGCGCATGTTTTAATCACGGGAGGTGGCAGTGATTTTTCCCCACTGGATGACGAGCTCCGGCGCCGACCTACGTCGGCGTGCGAGAATTCCTCACTGCCCTGAGGAAGCCTGCGAAATGTCAGGCGAAACGTCGGCACCCAAGCCAACGACGCGGCGTCTCCCGGATAGCCGAGAATTCATGGATTCGAGCCGCGGAAGCTTACGTACACATGCGACTAGGTCCTTCCGGGCAGAGGTACTGCAGCGACTTAAGTCGGTTAGAGCGAGATAAGTGTTATGTTTAACATGTTTTATTGTATTAATCGAAAGATGAGAGTTTTTTCTGTGTTCTGGTAGACTTTGTCTCGATTTACCGTCTAGTTTTTGCGTAACGAGACCGTGAATTTTGCTGTTTTAACATGGGCTCTTATGGTGACCTGACAAGATCTGTCCTGAAATTTTAAAATAGTGAGAAAATTAACGATTAAACATGTTTTTAAAAACTTTTCTTTTGGTAGCTAGCATCTCGAAGAATTAACTTGCGCAATTTGAAGGAAATCTACCGATTCAAACGAGAGAATTTTGCAAAATTAAAAGCCTGAATCAGTCCAAAGGGAGACGTTCCTGCGCTTCGCGTTCGCGCAACTCGGCAACACCGCGCGCACAACGCGCTTTATTCAAATCGAGTGACAAGACCTTGCAAGAGTTCGTACATTCCTTTGGATCGGGTAGCAATTAAAATATCTTCACTCCTGAAGAAAATTGCGTTTAATAGTAACCAGATATTCAGAAAAGCTGGAATTTGATGGATATAATGATTAGCGCGATCTGATTGAAAATCTTAATTCAATTAATATTCAAAATGACTCACTTTGATACTACTCCCTATGAAAAAATGGGTGATCTTGAGAGTTTATAGAATATTTTGTATTGTGCCGTATGTCAGTTTTTTGCTATTGAACAATGATTATTTATTCAATTATTCGAAAATATTCATATTCTCTTTTTTATTATGGAGATACACAGTGGATTGTCATTGCTTCTTGCTCCACATATGCTTACCCAGAACTCAAAGCAACAATCTTTTGCATAGATCAGCACCTCAATCTGTAGAGCATTCTGTGGGCATTCAATTCAGAAAGTAATAGACGTAGTGGCTTCAAATGTGTTGCCATGGTAAAATACTGTTTTGCTGGTGTTAATATATAGGTATAGGTGAATGCAGAGCTGGATTTCCTCCTAGCAAAATGAGACTCTGGATTCCCATCCCTGTGCCCATTTTTTTAAAATAAATATTAAAAAATTCATAAAATGTTTTTATCTAAATAATCATTAATAAAATAGTTTTTTGAACAACAATGTTTGATTTTAAAAATAAATTGAATGGAACAATAAGAAACCAAACATGTATTTGTAAATGAAAAAAATAAAAAGCAATTTGTTAATTTATGTCTTTATTGGAACATAATTTATTCT